TGCACGGAGCCTCCTGCTGATCCTCAGAACAACAGTGACAGTAGAAGATGGTGATTTGGCTTCTGATAAACCGTCCCCAGGTAGGAGTAGACGGATAAAATGACATGAGGTAGTACCAAGAGTGCCCAGGCTTCCTGGGCCACCTGTTTTGAGTTTCTTTTGGACGGATTCCAAGATGAGACTTCCGATCGGACCGTCCCACTCTGCTGTTTGAAGCTGCTTTTGTGTATGTTTGTTTTGTTTTATTTGGCTTTGGGTGTATGAGGAGTACTCAGAGCTCAGTGCTCAATGTTCATTCCTGACAGGTCTAGGTGACCAATGGGATGCTGGAGGTCCAAAGGTTTCATCTTGGGTTTTCTGTTTTATTTGGTGTGGCAGAGCAAGGATTCTTGCAATCATTCCTTGTGCTGCACTCTGGTATTGCCCCTGGCAGTGTTTGTGGGAGATATGGAATATTGGGGATCGCCAGTCCTACATGCTGTCCTGGGAACAGCTGTCCTGTTACGCCAACCTGCTGCTTCGGTTTCTTTTGCATTGTTTTTGTCATGAGCTGTCCTCTTGACTCTGGGCTCTGGATTCAAAACTTACTGGCCTCAGAGCACTCTGGGGTGTGCTGGCCCCGTTTGCTCCCTGTCAACTACAGTGACTTGGGCCCCCAGACTTGCTTTTCTCCTGTTTTGTCCTTCCTGTGTTGGAGAGACTACCTGCTCAGTCATATATTCTTACGTACACATAATCTTTTGTTTGGATTTCTGGGCATGCGCCAATCCCAAGGACAAAGAGCCAAGGATCTCTGGGCCAGTAGAGATGTTGGGGTCCAGAAACTTCTACCTTGTTTGAGCGGGATTTGGGGTGGTCCTGAGCAGTGAGTTCCTTCAGGCACATATGCCATGCACTTCTCTGAGTAGTTGTCTATATGAACTGCCAAGTTCTCAATCCTACTGGTCATGAGTTCTGGGGGTGCAGCAGTGAGCGTGCGTGGTTTTTGCTACACCTAGCGATAGTCTTTTGGACCGTACAAGTCTGTGTTCAGGTGATCCTCTCTACAGTGCTCACTGGACCAGTGGTGCTCGAATTAGCCCTGGAGTTACCAGGAAAGTCAGATACATCCAAGAACCTTCTGTATAACGTCCTCCCACTTTAGCAGATTCAGCTGTGTTATGTGATTTCTGGGGCCCGTCAGTCATGCGTGTGCATGGAGGCTGGTTCATTCGGAGCGGAGAGGCCAAGCGACAATATAGGACTCTGGGTCCTGGCATCACAGTAGTGGGAATGAGGCTAAGATAGACTCTGACTCCCACCCTCTCCGTGTGCTGACTCAGGATGCAGTGACCTTACATGACGTAGCTGTGAACTTCACCCCAGAGGAATGGTCATGCCTGGAGGCCTCTCAGCGGAAGCTCTACAGGGACGTGATGCTGGAGACCTACCAGCATCTGCAGGCTGTCGGTGAGAGCAGTGTGGAGCCAACCCTGTCTGAAGAGAGCTGTGTGCGGTCCCTGGGGTTGGGCGGCAGCTGTGTTTCCAACAGTAGCTCTGTGACGCGTTGGGATATTGGACAGCCGTGCAGTAGGTCTTCCCTCCCTCGTTTTTTTTTTTTTTTTTTTTTTTTTTTTTTTTTTTTTTTAGGGTTCACCTGTGGATACTCAGGCCTTACTCTCAGTCTTGTCATCAGGAATTACACTTGTGGGGTCGCCAGATCCTATGGGGTGATTCAGATCATCCCGTTTCGACTGTGTCCATGGGAAGATCCCTATCTGGCCAGTTATCGCTCAGGTCCCTTTAAATAGATCCATCCATTGGTGAATCAGTGTACTTTGTATACTTCACAACCTTTTGTATGTTTAATTGGTTTTGCTCTTGCCTTTGTTTGGGGGAACAGTCCACAGTTCTCCTGGCTCTGTACTAAAGTATGACTCCTAAGAGTGCTCAGGTGCCATGGGATACCGTGGACTGAAACCTCTTGGCAACTTATAATGTTGGTGACTCACCCCCAGTACTTTTGGACCAGCCACTCAACGTTTTGGCATTTATTTTTTTCCTTAGGGATTAGGGATTATTCCTGCCTGTGTATTCAGGATCCACACCTGGCCTTGCTCCAAGAACACATGGGCTGGCTGGGATCAAAGGCACTTGTGTGTGCAGTGCTTCTGTCCTATGTGCTGTACTATCTCTCTTCCACCACAGGGGATTTGATATCTCGTCTCTCAACTCATTAGATGCTGCCCTATTTCAGTGCTTGGATTTACTTCTAATGGTTCTTGTGAGACTTCAGCAGGACTTAAGGTTCGCTCCTGAACTCTGCACTCAGGGATCACTCCTGGCTGGCATGAGGGACCCTTAGGAGATATCTGGTATCGCCACTGGATTGTCCGTGAGAAACTACTGCTGTGCTCTCTTTCTGGATACATTTTTTAGCTTAAAAAATAAGGGTCTCTTCCCGCCCTTGGCCATTTCCAGATTTATTATGCACTTAGTTTTACTGAAATCCCTGATGAGTTCATGAGGGGCTCAGGAAACTCTATGTGCTGCTGGGCCTAGAAAGACATTACAGGGAGGAAAGTGATTTTCTTGCAAGCGGTGCACATGGGTTAAATCCCCGGCAACCCATGTCATTCCCGAGCACCAGCAGCAGTGATTTCTGAATACAGAGTCAGGAGTCACCCCTGAGCATTGCCAGGTCAGATCCCAAACAGGACAAAAACCAACAACATACTGTGCTGAACAACCCCCTGTCAGCCATACACAAGGCCAGGTCTAGAATATTTGTGATATTTTCTTGGGTCTTAACTCTCGAATAACTAGAAATATGTGGCATTTTGGAAATGGACATTCTGTTCATGCCTTTCAGATCTTTTCCCAGTTATATCAGTAAAACATGGGGATTTCCTGTCACCTTTTCCCTGTCACTTATCCATGCCTCTGTGTCTGTCGGGGCAGGTCACTCAGGGATGAAGCCTGCGGTGATCTCCTGGCTGGAAGGAGGAGCCCTGAGGTCGAGGAGGAGAGACATGTGTGCGAGTGAGTGTCTGAGGACCCTTCCTGGCTCAGGCCCTGTGCAGTGTATGGGTGCCCTGAGCATATATGAAACACGCTGTTGAGACTGGGGCCTTCGTCTCCTGAATCCTTGGGTCTGTGCCACACTCACACTCCTCTTTATTCCCCTGGAATGTCAGTCACAGAATGATCCTGTATTTTGCTTCCATGGCGTTTGAATAAGTAAGACCATAACAGATCTAGTTTGGATATGAATGATAGTACAGCAGGGAGTGCCTTGCAGTGCCTGAAGGTGATCTGTTCAATAATGTGTTCAGTAACCTGGTTCTTCGAACATTACCAGGTCTGCTCAAAAACAAAAACAATATCTAGTGTAGAATTGCCAAGATCCTCACAGTTTTCCACTATCGAATCTTTTCTTTAGTGTGGGACTCTTTGGACTCTGAGAACCACAGATATGTACTCTTAACTACATGTCATCATTTTGCTACATTTTTGGACAAGTGCTTGAATTGTATGTTTTGTTCACTTTCAGAACTGAAACCCCGGCTTCAGGATTTGACATTACAGCACTTAGATTTGGGAATGGGGTCAGAAAGTACGAGTGAGTTGGTAAGATTCACTAATTCAGAGTAAATATTATTATGCCAGCAGGAGTGGACCAAATAAGTGATTGTTAAGGTGGAGGACTGGGAATGGCAGGGAGGAATTCCATAGCCTGATGCTTGGAGTAGAGGACCCTTAGCTTTACTAGGTGCTGAAATCAACCATGTATAAAAATACTGTGCGTTTTGATTTGCTTGACAGTGGTAGTTGTTTAGAAAGCAAATTTGTGCACCCTAGAGATGGTGCAGTGAGAAATATACTTTCTTTGCACAGGGATGGATGGTCCTTACCCAGCACACCTTATAGACACCATAGCCCCCCAGAACTGATCCTAGATACTGCATGGTGTGCCATTCCACCCAAGTAACCCCCAAGAAATAGAAACTACAAAACAGAAAGAAAAAAAACTTCAATGATCCTGAAAGGCATCACTTGTGGTGAGAGCTTTGCAAAGGCCACGTGGTCTGTCTCAGCTGTGTGATGATGCAGCGTAGTCTTCACCCCTGCATCACAGATCTACTCTGAGCTTTAACCAAACCCACTGTGGATGTATTTCATTTTCTCTTGAAATGGATGTGTCCGTTTTCTATAGAAGGAATTATTTCTAGTTGTATTCCTTCATTAATTTAAAGGGGGGAAAGTCACATAACTTACAGACTCTCTATCAATCAATTTTGTGTGTCCAGCTTACAGTAACATGAAGTTATTTAATAGTAAAACAATTCATACGCCAGTAATTGCATTTTTGCGGTGCATATGTGTTAAACCACATCTGAAGGGCTCAGTTTTTTGACAGGAAGACTCAGTGAATAAGTCAATAATTAGAATCCTCTGTTGTTCTACAGGAAAGCTTCCACCCCGAGTGGAATGTCTCTGATCCTGCACTGTATGATAATGTCTCGAGTGAGCAATCCTGCCCTCAGCCCCATGAGGACGACGAGACAGGCGGGATGTCTTCTGAGGGTGATCAGAATGGCGAGAGCTACCTCACTCTGAAGAAGCCCTCTCCTGGAAAAAGTTCCTTGGAGTGTGTTATTCTCAGTTCACAGACACAAAATTCCCCGGTGGAGAACGTACTAGGGAGAGGAGCACTGTTTATAGTGAGTCCGCCACAGCAACATAGCCTCAACCACAGTCACTGTGAGCAGAACCCATCTACATGTAAGGAATGTGGGGGAGCCTCCCCATGTTCTCAGCACTGTGGTGTTCCCTTAGAAAACCACAGTGGACAGAATCCCCAGAAAAGTCAGCCCCGAGAACAAAGTGTGAGTCAAGTTTTACTCCATCATGACCATATGAATATAAATTCAGGAGCGAAACCTTTTGCATGTGAAGAATGTGGGAAGGCCTTCGATCAATCATCACATCTTATTATGCATAGGAGAATTCACACTGGAGAGAAACCGTATATATGTAAGGAATGTGGAAAGACCTTTGCTAGAGCTTCAATACTTACTGTACATAGGAAAATTCACACTGGAGAGAAAACGTATATATGTAAGGAATGTGGAAAGGCCTTTGCTAGAGCTTCAAGACTTACTGTACATAGGAGAATTCACACTGGAGAGAAACCATATATATGTAAGGAATGTGGAAAGGCCTTTGCTAGAGCTTCAATACTTACTGTACATAGGATAATTCACACTGGAGAGAAACCGTATATATGTAAGGAATGTGGGAAGACGTTTGCTGCAGCCTCAAGTCTTAGTGCACATAGGAGAATTCACACTGGAAAGAAACCGTATATATGTAAGGAATGTGGAAAGGCCTTTATTCAATCCTCAGGCCTCAATATGCATAGGAGAATTCACACTGGAGAGAAACCGTATATATGTAAGGAATGTGGAAAGGCCTTTGCTAGAGCTTCAAGACTTACTGTACATAGGAGAATTCACACTGGAGAGAAACCGTATATATGTAAGGAATGTGGAAAGGCCTTTGCTAGAGCTTCAAGACTTACTGTACATAGGAGAATTCACACTGGAGAGAAACCGTATATATGTAAGGAATGTGGGAAGTCCTTTGCTGAATCCTCAAACTTAGTGTACATAGGAGAATTCACACTGGAGAGAAACCGTATATATGTAAGGAATGTGGAAAGGCCTTCACTCAGTCCTCAGGCCTCAGTATCCATAGAAGTATTCACACTAGACAGAAACCATATATATGTAAGGAATGTGGAAAGGCCTTTACTCGATCCTCAGGCCTCAGTATACATAGGAGAATTCACACTGGAGAGAAACTGTAATGTATCTAAGGAATGTGGGAAGGCCTTTGCTACATCCTCAAAACTTACTGTAAATAGGAGAATTCACACTGGAGAGAAACCATATGTATGTAAGGAATGCGGAAAGGCCTTTACTTCATTCTCACAATTGACTGTACATAGGAGAATTCACATTGGAGTGAAACCGTGTATATGTTAGGAATATGGGAAGTCCTTTGCTGAAGCCTGCTGATTTTCACCCGGGCTGCACCTATGCCAGTATTCTTGTTCTTGGAAATTCTTGTGTGTTAACTTGTAAATAATGTGTCCTGGTGATGAAAATAAGGAGGAAGGTGACTGAATATACTGGTAAAGAAACACCCCGCTGCTCAGAGCTGTCATGGCTCACTATTCTGTTATTGTTTGCTGTGCTTCTGGCTTGACCGAGAGGGGCTGGATAGCGGGAATTATGGCAGAAATCAACCAAGATGCAGCATTGAATACTTTGAAAATGGAAAAACAGGAAAACCTCTGTGCTTCAGTCTTTCCTGTGTTAGGATTTGGAATGCTTGAGCACCCTGCAAATCCCGATTTGGGAACTTGAGCACCAGGTCACGCCAGCTTCTATGGTGCATTCACGCTTGTTTCTTACTTGTTCTGGATATCCAGGCTTTAGTGGATGTGGAGCTTTTGAGGGGTGCATTGAATGCTGTTCTGTGGCTCAGGTGTCATGGGTGAGGGTGTGTTATCCTGAGGGCCCGTGCAGCCACGATTGCATCCAGTTCCAAGATGGCACTGGAGGGTGGGCACATGGATTTCAGGCCTTGGTGTGAGGAGCCTGAAGAGAGTGGGGGTCTTGGTCATCTCATTCCTCCCTACTCGAGACTCTGCAGGACCCTGTTTGGTGCCTTTGGACTAGCCATAACACCTATCGAAACTCCATATATGTGCACAGGTAGCCCACAAAGGAAAGGGACACTTTTGTGGTCGGTCATTTTCATTGGCTTCTGTGCTGGGGTTTGGGTTTGGACAAGTGAGAGGTATTTGCCTCTGAAAATTTTTTCTTTGGATTAATTTATTTTTTTGCTTTTTGAGTCACACCCAGCATTGCACATGGGATTACTCCAGGCTTATGCACTCAGGAATTACTCCTGGTAAAGCTCAGGGTACCATATTGTTGCTGGGAATCGAACCCGGATAGGTCACGTCAAGTCCGGATAGGCAAGTCAAATGTCCTACCCGCTCTGCTATCATTTCAGCCCCTCTTTGGATTAATTTTAATAGCTTTTTTATTCAGGGGAGTTGGAAGGGATTCTTTGGTGCTCAGGGTTACTTCTGGTTCTGCAGCTCAGGAATTATTCTGTGATGTTTCTGGGTTCCTATGGGATGGGGAGGTTTGACCTTGAACAGCAAGGCACGCTCGAGCAAATCGACGAACAACGGGAGGGCCTTTACCTTTACCTTTACCAGCAAGGCAAGCATCCTACTCACTTGACAGTGAGTCCAACCCCACTATTGGTGTTTTTTCCATATATAGAATTTCTACTTTCTGCGTGTATGGTACCCCCAGCAGGTCAGTCTGTGTCTGTAAGGTGAGTGCATCAGCAGCCTGATGGCACCGTCAGACTTCCAGATACTCCGAAATTGAAGCTGTGCCTTTGGCCAGACAACAAAAACTTTGGGCAAAGTCTTCCAAGAAAGTAAACGGCAAAAAGTTGGGTATGTGCGTGACACAGCAACAAACCATTTCTGGCTCAGCTATATAATTGGAGGGAAGGTCTCTCTGGTTCCTGATCAAATTGCTTAAAGGCTATGATCCCAGAGACTCAAAGATAAATCTCAGAACCCAGAAGCTTTTTGCAGAGATTTTCCCGGTTCCCACAATGAGCTACCAGTGACAGACCACCACAAGGGGGAAAGGGTTTGTATCTCCGCCTGATCCCTCTTGGTGGCTCAATGGCCACCATCTTCCAAAGGCCATTGGACAGACAGGTTTGGGCCTGCAGTGACAAGACATGCGGGGCCTCATGGGATTGGGGTGGACTCTGACCTTTCCTCCCCACCTCAATGAGACCCCGAGTCACTGCCAATGTACAGACTCTGGCTCTTGAACAGTCGGCCATGATCTCAGAGTCTCAGTAACAAATATCGGAACCCAGCGGCTTGCAGCAGAAATGTGTCTGGTCCCCAAAGTAGCTTACCAAAGCTGAGTATTTTAGGTGGCAATAGGTTCCGTGCCTGGTGGCTCAGTGGCTGCCATCTCTTATTGCTTCTGGACGGTTAGGTTTGGGATTGCTGTGAGGAGACATGCAGGGCCTAACAGGATGGTGGTGGAGCCGGCCCTTTTCTCCCCACCCCAACGAAACCCCGAGTTGTCTGGCACCTATGATTGACCTCTGTGCATCGAGATCAAGGTGCCTAATGGCTGTGATCCCAGAGATTCAGAGACAAATCTTGAAACCCAGCGCGTTTTAGCAGAAATGCGTCTGGACCCTGCAGTAGGTTACTGTCCCCAGTCCACCCCAGGGGGAATTGGTGTTGTACCCCCAACTTCTCCCACTTGGTGGCTCTATGGCCTACATATTTTATTGTATTGTTTTTTAACACATCCTCCAAAGGCCTTTGGAAAGTCAGGTTTGGGCCCACACTCAGTAAGATACGTGGGGCCTCTCAGGATGGGGTGGAGCCGGCCAATTCCTCCCCACCCCAACATGAGCCTGTGTCATTCCCACGAACAGCCTCTATGGCTTGTGGTAAAGCTGCTTCATAGCCATAGTCCCAGAGACTTAGGAACAAATCTCGGAACCCAGCAGGTTTTGGCAGAAATCCCTCCAGATTTAGTTGTTAAAATTTCAGAATTCCAAAATCATATGTTATTTTTAACCAGCTATCTATAAAGAATTGTCTACTATTGCTTTTTCGCCAGATCTGAGTGCTGGGGTAAAATCCCAAATAATAATGTTGGGTCTCGTGTCAAAATATTGAATGTAATCAAAGTAGAGGAAGAATGTGGAAATTATCTTCCCCACAGGTAGGGGGAGGCTGTGGAATGGCGGTATATTTGGGTTTTTAGTGGTGGGAAATGGGCACGGTGAAGGGACGGGTGTTTCATTATATGACCGAGACTTAAACCTGAAAGCTTTGTAATTGCTCTCCAATTTTTCCCCTTTTCTCCCATTTATTTAGAAATGACCAGAGCAATTGTAGGGCAAGTAGGATGCTTGCCTTGCATGTGGCCAACCCAGGAGTCCTCCAATCCACAACATCTTTGAGTTGCTCATTGGACATTGAGTATCCCCTTCTCATCCCTAGAATATATGCTGTTGAGGTGTGGCATCGCGTAGGGTGTCTTCTACCCAGAGCTGTTCATTTTGAATAGATCCTGTGCTTTGCTTTCTTGACTTTGTTGTAATTCTTCCTTATCTGTCAGGTATGTCAAGTAGTTCTTCTGTTCCCGGCTGTATAACTAGCTTGACTGTACACCTAAAGGGTCAGGTGCCCTTTCTGGACTTCTGTCAGTCAATCTGACACCATGCATATCTTTGCCTTTGGATCATTGCCATGGTTTTTTGAATATGGGAAGAAATTTAGTTTTCTTTTGTTTTGGGGCCTGGGGATGCTCAGCAGTTCTTCCTGGTGGTTTCTCGTAAGTTGCTTTTGACAGTGTTCAATGATCAACCCCTGTCAGCCTCATGCAAGGCAAATGCCTACCTGCTGTATGCTTGTATGCACCAAAAATTGTTTTATTGTGTGTATGTTAAATTGTGACTGTGAGCCCATCGTGAAACTAATTCGGACCAGAACAGCAGTGCATCACGGAGGGTGCTCCCCTTACAGATGCCGCCTACCTTCGATGTCCAGCATCCCCTATGGTATCCCAAGTATCACTGGGTCTGATTAAAAACAAAACCCAAAAGGCTTTTTTGGGGATTGCCGAGCTCCTCCCAGCAACACTTTCTGCAGATTTTCCCTTTCTGTAGGCTTGCTTGGACTGTGAGAACTATGGAGATGTCCTCCACCTGTTTGGTCATTCAACTGAATTCCATTCAACATTGGACTAATTCTCATTGTGCATTGTGTTTGATTTCAGATCTCAAATCACAGGTTCAGGATGTGGCATTACAGCAATTTCTTTAGAGAACAGGGGTATTGCATACAAGTGTGCTGTAAGATTCTCTTGTTGAAACTATTATGCCATTGCAGTGCTCAGTGGACCGAACATGCGACTCGAAAGGTGGGGTCCGGCACCATCCTCAAAACCACATCTATGGTCTCAGAATCACAGGAAAAATATCGGAGTCTAATGCTGGGACTAAAGGGTCCTTTATCTCAGTGGGTGCTGAAATATGGAAAGTTATTTTATTGTATTGTTTTTTAAAGTTTTCATTAAAGTGCCAGTATTTTCAAAGTTATTGATAGTTGTGTTTAGGCGTACAATAATTGAACACCGATCCCTGCATCAGCTTCTCTCCACCCGTGTTCCCATATTCTCTCCCCACCCCAGTCCCCACTCTACCCCCGCCTGTCATCTGGACAAGCACATGACTAGGTTTCAGTGGTTACAGCTTAGATCTCTTGTTTTCAGTTCTGTTGCATCTGTGTTTTGGGTAAATGGTTACACCCCTCACTCATGTCACTGGCTTAAATGAATCCCTGATCCCTGTAAACTTTTGCTTCTGTTCCAACCCAAATTTCTTTCCTTCTTTGTCCGACTTCTCTCTAAACAGTGGAATCATGGATGATTTAAGCAGTCCCTTTACAGAACATTTCCACATCCAGTGTTCGGTATTCCACAGATCAGTGAACATCATCCTGTTTTTGTTTCTTTTTCTGGCTAACTTCACTCAAGACGGTATCTTCCAGTTCCAACCGTGTTGCTGCATAAAACCAGAAATTCTGAAACCTAAACAGTATATTACTTGATCACTTGATCTCCCTTTATTCATCGATTTATTCGAGTG